TTGCTCGCCTCACATCCATCCCACCCAACTGAATCCTATACCCTTTCCGGATAGGGTAGCATGTCTTACGTACTCCAAGGTTCTGCTTATACTCGGTGAATTATGCCAATTAAAGACCCCGAAAAAGCCTACAACTTTGTAGACAGCCAAGCTGCGATATAGAAGATTGACGGCCCGAACGAAATAAGCCACAAGGTCAGAACTCAACTATACCTGCTAGCTTATGGAAGCACAAAGACAACAATTAGCCTGGGTCCCAAGCCACGTGGGAACCGAAGGCAATGAGATGGCGGACGAACTTGCCAAAAAAGGACTGAAAGCCCCAACGAACGGCCAACCGTACACGTCTATAAGCTTTTTAAGCCGCAAAATAAGGGAAACCATAGTCTCAGACTGGCATGTTGCAACTGTATTGCATATATATATTGTCCCATTATGTGGGATGCAAAGTATAAGTCGCACCGGTACACCTTGTGGGCGGTACAAGCCCTAATGTACACCCACCTACCAATCCAGCCGAAGTGACTGTAATTGGTTGTGGAAATCGAACACAATTCGCCTACATTCAACTAAAGCTAGGTATTGGATACCTGAAAAGTTATCAGAAGACGATAAGGAACCTTAATAATGACAAGTGCTTATGCCACCAAGGCAAACACACAACAACATATTTGGTCTTATGGTGCAACAGATATAAGGCCTAACAAGAGGCCTTAATTAAGGTCTTAAGAACCCTAAGAGTGACCTGAACCTAAATCTAACACCACTCGTCACCACCAAACAGAGCATTGACAAGAAAACTACATTTTCATTTTTTAAAAAAGCTTAAATAATTAATAATAAATCTAATAAAATACTTGAATTATAATAATAAATACATAAAATAGCTAATATTATAGCCAATCAGCTTACTTAAAAAAGGAGTAAGAACTACCCTAAACTCCCAGGAAACGGCACCACGCATCAGCATACCCTCACAAGCCGGATAGAGAGCCTTAGGGAGCAACCCCCAGTCGAACAACGCCAGTTATTATCATCCGTCTATTTTGCCTCACAAGCCCCCAGAACCACGCGGAAAACCCCCTAAGACTCTCCATCCAGCCGTCCCGCAGAAAGCCCCCCGATAACCCCACAAAGTCAAATTCAAGTTGGCCATACCTTGGCCGCCTCCAGGGAATCCGACGCCGTATATAACGCCTGGACATCCCGTTCAGCCTATCAACATTGAAAACCACAGGGCATTGACCATGAGTCTCCAGAACCCTCGAACCCTCGAACCCCCGAGCTCACAGCAATCACAGCGCCCTCGCTAAGCTATGTAACACACACAGAGCCCACAGAATGTATAACACACCCACAGGCGTGATCGCTGCAACTACAGCACAGTCACAATGCCCCCAGAACCCGCTACCAGTGCCTAACCCACTGAAACCTTTAGTGCATCCCACAAAGCCCACAGAATGTATAACACACCCGCAAACGTGATCGCAGCAATTACAGCACGGTCACAATGCCCCCAAAAACCCGCAACCAGTGCCTAGCCCACTGGAAAACAACCCTCAGAGCAACTCGCAGAACATACAGCACACGCAACGCACCCACACGCAACGCACCCAAAGACATGACTGCAGCGACCGCAGCACGGCTATAACCCCCGGAACCCGGCGCCCCCAGTGTCCCACAGCGGTCCTTATAGTAGTCGGAAAGCCCCGACAGACCGGCAAACCCACTAGCTGCTCACCCAACTAGTGGGGTCAGGCCGGACCGTCCGAGCCCCCTCACATACCCACCGACCTCAGCGAGGGATCGACCCCGCTACCGGGCGCTCGTGGGCCACTTTTTATTTTCCGCAAAAATCAAAATGTATGTAAAAACAAAAAAATCAACTCACAGCTATATAATTAAAGAGCCCACATATTTATATAGGGATCAATCGATACAGCTCAACGAGACGAGTCGAATGCCCTAGGTTTTATAACGGTAAAAACAATATATCGCGAGAAAATCACGATTAAACCTCCCTCTAGGGTAGCCTAGAAAGAGGGAACCCCGAAAAACTCATTTTAGGATAAAATAAAACTATAACGTGTAACCAGAAATAGGTAAACACTTATATAGCAATTAAAAGAGAAGAATATAGGTAGAATTTTGCCTAAAAACCTTAGAGAAATATATAAAGCGAGGGAAAAACAGAATTAAAGGTGTAAAACATCAAGGAAAAGGCAGAGAATTTATAGTGCTAGAGGGAAAACTAGCTTATTACTTATTTATATTGTATTATATAGAAGATAGGTAACTTCTCCATAATCCTAAGGCTTGTAAGAGAGTAATAAAAAAACAAGAAGTTAGCAGTCCCTATCTAAACGCCACCTGTCAGAGCCAGGTTCCTATGCTCGGCGAGGCTACGCGTGAGCCTCGGCGGCGAATATGGTCGTCAATACAGTCCGGGGTATGGGCGAACGGGGAAACAGCCACATGGGCGCTCGCTACGAACTCCTGGCCAAACTGCACTTGGGCGTCATGCCGGGGGCGGCGATCCGATGCACAACTGCCAGGGGATCGCCTCCCCACGGCACGGGCTTCGTCTCCGCGATAACAGGCTCCGCTCGTAACACGGCGACTGACCAGCTCCCCGCGCAAGTGCCGATGCCTGACATGGGGTCCATTAACAAAGCCGACGGTGCGGCTGAGCAGAAGCTTACGTTCCCCGTGATTGATAATGCTCGCTTGATGAGCCATTTTATGACGAGAGCGTCACGAGTGGCATGGGTTTCGGGCTGTGGGAGGAGGGATTTGCATATCCAACCATGAACTTGGACTTTGACCGGTACAGAGGCAGCCACGGGGGCAGGTGCATTCCGCTATCGGAGAATTTCTGCACATGAATAATTAGAGCGTGGAATTACCCGACTTGTGGGAATCTGGATGGATAGACTTGGTGTTGACAGTTACGTCCACGGTAAACAGCAAGGGAAAGAAACAAGATGTGATCAGACCAGAAACTGGGCCATGGCCCATGGCCCATGAATCAGCATGATAAGAAGCAACAGTATTGTCTAGTGCCTTAGTCAGGTACTAAGGTAGGTACTGTAGCATCACGATTAGTGTACACTTGGCAGTACTGTAGGTACCTACCTAGGTAGGTAGCTGTACGTGTATCCTGGCCAAAGATGGTATTTGCACGGATTGATAAAGCAAGTACGAGGTAACTCTATGCGGAGTACCCGGGTAGACCAAGACCCTGTTTTCCCCAGTCAAAAACAGAACAACGGATACGTAATACCCCGTCAAAGGTCCCTGGCATTAAAGCGGGCAAGTCGCACACGGCATAGGGAGCATGGCATCGCACAAGGCCAGTTTCTGTGGTCTCGATGGACCGGGCGGGTAATGCTCCCGAATTGGGTTACGTACTGAGTAACGTTAGTACCTACTCCGTACGTACCGACGGGTTGTGCTATTTGTGCGGCAGAAAATCGTTATTTACCGACCCAGGTATGTATCTGGCCTGTGTCTAGTCTGGGCATCCCCAGTATTCTAGAAGGTTTGGCTTGACTCGCAAAAAGCCACCCCGCGCCGTTGGTACCTCTCGGGAAATGCCAAGGCCCCCCCACCGGTGAGGAGGGTCAGTCGTCGGCGACCTTCTCCGATTTGATACGCTCTCTAGTCCTTGGTCGACATGCCGCACACCTGGGCTAGCTGGCTCTCCCCACACCCCCGGATCCTGTTTGTAGATGCCAAACAGACGAATACCGGGGTACTACTACTGTTCTTCAAGCGAGGGTTTGGATATACCTCAGTTTTGACGGGGACGGAACCAACCGACACGGGAGTATATCTTACAGCCTCGTATAGAGGGGAAAAAAAAATTGGCCCCTCCTTCCTCCTGAGACGCATAGAAACCATTAGACAGTTACATATGTATAAATATATAAAGAAATCCCAAGCATGTCTCCTCCTCTATTGGCGGTTGCTAGCGCCGAAAAACACCAAGTATCGGTAGAATCGCAGTCGCAGGATGCCCTTGGGCCAGCAATAATAATGCAGCTCGAGACGATTGACTCGCGCGCCGAGCGCAAGCTCCTCCTCAAGCTGGACGCCTTCTTTGTGCCCATCATCATGGTGGTGTACCTGACGTGCTTCCTGGACCGCACCAACATTGGCAACGTCAAGGTGGCGTGCATGCCCGAGGACATTGGCGCGTCGCCGCAGCAGTTCTCGACGGCCGTGTCCATCTTCTACGCGACCTACGTGGCGTTTGAGCCGCCCTGGACCATTATGATGAAGTGGATGACGCCGCGGATCCTGCTGACGTCGCTGTGCGTCGTGTGGTCGCTGGCCACCATCTTCCGGGGCTTCATCACCAACATCGGGGGCCTGTATGCCGTGCGCCTGATCCTGGGCGCCTGCGAGGCCGGCCTGTTCCCCGCGCTCAACCTCTACCTCACCATGGTGTACAAGCGCGACGAGCAGGCCACTCGCGTGTCGTACCTGTTTGTGTGCACCGCCGTCGCCGGCGCCCTTGGCGGCCTGCTTGCCTACAGCATCCTCAAAATGGACGGCGTGGCGGGCTACGCCGGCTAGCGCTGGGTGTACACCATCGAGGGCATCTTCTCCTTCCTCGTCGCACCCGTCATCTGGTTCGGGCTGCCCAACGACCCGTCCATCGCCTACTTCCTCACCGGCGACGAGAGGCGCATGATGCCGGTGCGCGCCGTCCAAAGGGCCCAGTACATGGGCAGCGAGGAGTTCAGCTGGGGTGAGATCCGGATCGGCCTCAAGGACCCCAAGCTGTACCTCAGCGCCGCCATTCAGTTCTGCCAGGACACCCTGCTGTACGGCTTCAGCACTTTTCTGCCCTCCATCATTGCCAGCATGGGCTACTCCGTCATCCAGGCCCAGTACCTCAGCATACCCGTGTACATCTTTGGCCGTCTGTGTTTCCTCGCCGTGGCCTTTGTCTCGGACCGCTTCTGTGTGCGTGGCCCGTTCTTGCTCCTCGCCAATATCCCCGGCATCATTGGTTACGTCCTCATTCTGTGTCCTACCAGCAACCCCGTCAGGTTCTTCGGCACCTTCCTCTGCGCCGTGGCCGTCTACAACGGGCCCGGCCTGAATCTGACCTGGCTCAACGTCAATGTCGCGCCGCATTATCGTCGCGCCATCGGCATGCAGCTAAGCATCGGCAACTCGGCCGGTATTGTGGCCGGGCAGATTTACCGCAATGCGCCGTATGTTTTGGGGAACAGCTTCTCTGTCGCGGCGCTGGGCCTGTCGCAGTTTATCATCGTGCTCAAGTGGTTCTACTTGAGGCGTTGCAATGAGGAGAAGAGGAGAATTGCCGACGGGAACAAGGATGACACGAGGAAGGTGAGGACTGGTGATCGGGAACTGGACTTTAAGTATCACCTGTAAGATGGCGGCAGCGGTTGTGTGTGTGTGTGTGTGTGTGTGTCTATATGTGTGTGATTTGTAGGCCACATATTAGCGAACTGATCATGAATATACCGTCTGGATAATTTGTTTGATCGTTGCGGAGTGGGCATTCGGAAAACTGGCTGACAAGCTGACGGAATGCCTGCATGCAAGTCGGGGAATTACAAAATCCCGTCTTGACAAATTGGCTTGTTGTTCTGGGACCTGTCAACCCCAATAAATGTCCATGTATATACACCCCTATCAAGTGTACATGAATGTGTCCAAGGCAAACGGCGCAACGCAGTTGAAGACTGAAGACGCCACCCTGTACCAGCCAACACAAGTATCTCTGAAGCCTCACAAGCCCCGGGGGCGCCAATTTCCACCCCAATACAACACCCAGAAAAATGCCAAACATAACGCGTTGCTGTAGGTATTTAGACTCCAGTATCGCACGCCCGTTCACAGTCCCAGACATAAAGAACCAGTTTAATGTAAGCGCTTTCTGCGACATGTCGCCTCTTGGTGATTGTCTGCCCAGCTAGACAGACTTTCTTGGTTCCAGAATCGCCGTGGTAGGAATTTCTGGGTTTGTCGGCGTGCTTAGATAAGGCCTGTCAGAGCTCTGAATCGTGTGTTCCAATGTAAACACCCTTAGCTGAGCACCCCAGGGTTTATAAAGTCCAGGTTTAGGCTCTCATAATTCCATAGCGTCGCCAACTCGTCCAGATCTTGTTCGGTAATGGCGCCGAAATTCCCATAGTCTATAGCATGGTAAGCCTCGTCAGTTGGTGGTGTCATGTTAACATATGATGTTGAATAATCTAGCTGTGCACCATTATAATACAGGGTATTTGACGAGGGCATTGCGGTGCCTGACGACGTTGAAGGAACCGGAGGGCTATATCCAGCTGATTCGGCAATGTTCAAGTAGTGACCAGGAGGCGTGAATTGCGATACTGGAGCGCGATAGAGTTGCGCATCACTGGTCGGAGTTGTATAAGAGGCGTGCGAATCGACAGTGCCGGGGTCGCTTGCGAACGCTACCTCTGTCTGATTCATACCGGGGGGTGTCAGTGCGAGCTCCTTGTCATTTAGTCGCTTTTTTGCAGGCATGATTGGTAATTTCACTTCTTGTCCGGGTCGGGAAATGTTCTGAGCAATTTTGGCCAAAACTTTATGTGATGTTCTAGCGGTTTTGGTCACCGTATTTAGTCGCTTAAGCATTGACAAGGCCTTGTCAACAGCCACCAGCATATCGTCCCGCTTTGGAAGGCTTGAGTCTTGGTCATGCATAAGAGCAGAGCACAGGACAGCAGCTGTATCGAAAATGTAGAAAAGCACAAAGTGGAATTTGGCGTCTCGTGGATAGACGTGGTCAAAGAAGCCGTGCAAAGCGTCCAATAACCGCAGTGAGTAGTCAATGCCGTCGTCACGAATCTTGAGTTCGTCGGATGGCGATTGTTTGGACATTGGTTTGGCTAGATAGGCTCGAATAGGGTCGAGCATCATGGACATGGCCATAGTGTGAAGGTAATGCCGATGCAGGACAATCCACGGCCGCGACGCGTCGTTGCTTGTATCTGGGTCGATGAAAGCGTAGGTCGATGGAAAGGTATTCATCCATCTGTCAACAATAGCTTGATATGCTCGGATGTCGCCATGCTGAGAAACATCCTTCGATAGTCCAAAACGGTTGAAAAGTCGTGTAATCAGTTCTGACTGGAGTTTCATGTGTTGCAAAGGGGATGGTGTGTACCCTTCTAGGGTGAGGCTGGGAATGCCGACATCGATATCAGTCCGGTCTATCAGCACTGGTCTTGATAGGAGAGCAGATATTTGCCTTGGATCAAAAAAATAAAAATAAAAGTTAGTAAATAGCGACCAATTCTAGTAGCTCGCCCAGTAATTTTGACAGGCATCGAGGCCCTGGAGTCCAAAACTCACCAATCCCAAGTGTCCAGGATACACCAGATCCTTCTTCGCATCTCACGGTCAAACTCAGACATTTGACCGCTGACGGTTTCCTTGTGAATGCCGAGTTCCTGAGCCTCGCGGATGGCGGTACTGAGAACATGCCAGCATTCGACAAATCGTGCCTCTGATTTGTACCAGTAGCATGAATGCAACAACGACTGGACATTTAGTAGGTGGTTGTTGCCGACAGGAATAGCGCCGTGGAGTTCACGACCGGCGTTGTGGTACTGCTCAGTGAGCTTCTGAGCGCTCTGGCCGAGATCAATCTCGAGTTTCCGTTCAAGTTCACTATCGGTGTACTGCATTGAGCACGCACAAACCATGAGCAGCAGACAAGTCCACTGCATACCAAGTGGGCGATTTTCCGAGCGCAGCGACCACCAGGTTCTATATTCTTCCAAGAATGAAGGCGGATAAATGATGTAGTAATGGAAGTTTACATGGGTGAGGAAGTTTTGGACTAGGGCATCTGCCATGTAAGGTGTTAGTCGCCAGGCGTCACTTGTTACTTGTCTGGTTTTGTTGTTTGAAGTGCGTGAGGGACTGTCAAGAATCAAACAAACAAACAAACATACCTGTGTAGGGTCTCGGAGGAAGGACGAGCAGGGCACGCTTGAGCTGCGGACATGATGAAGGGTTCATATAGTATTGCCTAAATGTTTTCGGGACAAGCTTGGGTTTTCTCTGCCACAATTTCTCTTGTTAGCACCGCACCAAGAGACTGTAAGTGCCCAACATGCTGCAGATGAGCTGAACTGTGCTCCAACAAACCAAGCCGTGTGACATACGGTTGAGCTTGAGCTGAGGCCGGCAAAGAGGTGCGAGGCACTGTATCCCAAGGCCTCGAAACCACTATCTGCGTCCTCCCAAGGGATCGAGTCTATCGATTCCGTGTCCTCGTGACTCAATTGCCGTTTTCGAGTGGAATCATGGCGTGGAGCTTTGTCTTGACTGGGCTGGCTCTGGCCAAAGCAGCACTTGTCGGCGACTTTGCGTTTCTGGCAGTGATTGCACGGCCATTCTCGATTGCACTAAATCCCATGGTCAGATGCGACGGCTTTGTTTGAATGGTCTGTACACTACAGGGCAGGAGACTTTGTGGCATTGTCCCGGGACGAGGTAAACGACAGTGAGCTCGCTGCCGGGCTGGCAAGCAAAGGCGTCGTCGAGGCTGCTGGCTGGAACGGGATGGTGAAGTGAGTGTGAAAGGAAGACTGAATGTTGCAGTCAGGGCGGCAGTCAGGACGGAGAATCAAATACCTTTTGCTTGCGACGCTGGCACTCGGTACAGGCCGACCGGTGGTGCGTGGTTTCCTTGGGGCTCTCCCTCTCCCCCATGGCAGTCAAAGGGTCGCGATGGCACGCGATCGCTAGTCGAGTCGAGAGTTCTAGAGGTTGCCCAAGTGTGGGACGGCAATGGCCTGAGGACAAGTGACAGGCGGATGACAGGCGGACCAGCCAACAGCTCCGAGGCTTGCACAGGCGGAACGGGCAAGCTGGGTTGGGCTGACTGCCGCCTGCGACATCCGGGACTAGTCACAGCTTTGGTCCAGGTGTCGGGTCAGATTCCAAAGGCGGCCACCAGTGGCGCAACTAGGTCCATGCCAGCCATCGGCTGCCGGTTTATATATCGATGCTGGATCGAGGGGCCACCCCCAAACGATCTGATTAATTCAGCGACCGCGCACTGGGCTGGGCATCAGCATGAGCTTCACCAGCATGGGCATGGGCGTCGGTCGGCATGGCATGGGTCTCTCTCCTCTTGTCTCCATGTCCTCTGACTCCTCCTCTGACTCCTCCTCTGGCCATCGCCTCTGACCGCCCCTGCCGGCCTTCCTTCGACATGTTTCCCAAGAGCCAACGGGCTTAACATGGAACCCATGGATTTTAATCTGGACTTTTGCGCGAACTGCCCCGCAACCGTTAGATGGTGGCGCACCCATCCATCTCCAGGGATCACGCCGATGAGCGGCCAAGCAGCCACGCGGCCTAACAGCCAGAGTGTGTGTGATGATGATGCACTCCTTGACTCCAAACTCCGTGCTCCATTCTTCTCGGTACTCCGTACACACTTCAGTTACGCCGCATGGCCGGTCGACACTGCAGCCTCTGCTGGCCAGTCACTGCGGACCCGCATGAGCGGAGGCCACCGGGGGGCTGCTGAGGATATCCATGCCTCCTCCATGCCGCCTCCAACGCATCCATGTCTGGAGATCACCAACCTGCAAGGAAAATCGCCGCGACGCTTGAACATTTGAACCAGTTGACGATGGCTATCCACGGCCACAAGTACCTCCATCTATCACTACTGCGCCAGCTGCAGCCACCGTCGTTGTTTCCGTCACGTATCGAAAAGAATACTTTGCGTCTGTTGGTCTCATGCGATGCAGCCGGGCGAGCTCTTGTCGCTTGAAATCGTACAATACACGCGACGCGGGCCGGCGGGCTGGTGTTTTCACGTCCCGCCCCATCCTGGACACATGCAGCGCCTTCGTACTGCCGCACCGATAGTTGGTTTCGATCCCGGCAGCTTGCTGAGACAATTAAAATCTCTTGGAGTGTCTCTCCATCTCCCGGCCACCATCCCCTTCAATGCTAGTACCAGTTTCGAAAATATTGAGACACTGAACCTCGGTCAATTCAAGCCTAGTTGCTAGTTAGTTCTCTCGATCCTGCTTAGGTCTGCCCACTTACGTAGCATGGAGTGACTCCGATATCTACACCATCCCTAAATAATCTCTTATACGGAGTACTACCGTCGGCGACAGACAATTTTGCTACCCGTGGTTCTCTGCACATCAAAGTGTCTCGATTCCCCGCCTAGATTGCCATTGATTGCCATTGCCTATTGACGATGCAAAGCCCTTCCTGCAGGGGGTTGATCCCTGGAATTAGACGAGGGCGGTCGTTGTTCTTGGGCCATGCCAGTGGGATGGGACAATTGATCCAGAGTCCCGTTTTAACTATTTACTACTCGTAGTTTTGGCAGCCCAAATATGTATCGTCATTGAGTTAAGCAATGCCATGCTCCGTACTCCGTACACCATCCCGTGACGTCTCTCAACACGACAACGTGTGCGTCGTCCTACTGACTCCTACTCCTACATAACGCTGCGCGTGGATAGTGTTACTGTCTGCGTGTCCCGGTTGTGTGGATAAATAAGATCCAAGGTCTCAACGCCAGGCTCATTGGTTGATTGATGGTCATGCAGGTTTTCCCTCTGCATTGGTGCCGCACACAACCGCCGTTATGGAAGCGTTCGCTGGGATCCGGCTCTCTGGATGACTAGGACGTCTCCTCGGCAACTCTACTGACTGCATGGCCTTTCCACTCGACATGACCCGAAAGGGCGAACCGCATGAGCGAAGCCCCATCACGGTGCATCTATGCATTGCCAACGGCTAATAACCGCCCAATCATCGTCTCGGCGGCAGCGAGTTCTCGCGGTTTGTGCTCCGTACGGAGAACAAGGGCTAGAATGCCATCGTTGAGTTCAACGGTCCCACGGTCCACCACAGGGCCAATGTCCCAATAAGGTCTGACGAGAATTGGCTTGTTGACGGCTTGTTTGTCTCATTATCATCTCGGTGCTTGCTCCATAGAGTGACGCGGGTGAGTTTTAGTCCTTTGCCTCAGGCGATTGTGCTTTCCAGTATGCAGTCACTTTCGCAACGGTCTTTTTGTCGATCGCTCGGTTTGCTGTTTGCTCATGTGTCTCCCAGGTTGTGTGGCCTCTGCCATCCACAATTTATTTCCCACCAACTATCCCTTTTCCAGACATACTATAGGTACATATTGGTAAAGATAGACCAGTATTTTGGAGTGGGAAGAATCACCTAGGAAAATATCAGTCAGCGTCGTACCCTTTTGTCACCGAGGAGTTGCTAGGCACTGAACAGCTCACACGCTCTATTCGGGGTCCCTGGTGTAGACATGGTGTACCAAATACGGTGCTAGGAGAGCGACAGACATTCGCCCTAGTTGTGGTGTAGTACCACCACTTCATGAACTTATGTAGGCAACCCAGTTTGGTCAATGCTCCATCATGTTTGTCCCGCCTCGCCGGCTGCTCACAAACCAACGGTAACGTGGACTTTGGGACTGTGCCACAATCCCATGCTGGGCATGATGCGAGTTTGAAATTAGCGATGTTTCCTTAAGCTGAGGGATGGAGGGGCCCAACATTGCATGTTTGACACAATGTTCGGCCCTGACCCCTTGAAGCCCGGAAAGGATCTGGCCTTTTCCGCAGTTGCTAACCGCAACCCGCCCATCGCCACGGAGTGTATATTAGTACATTGATTGTCCATTGATCTAGTCACTCCTTAAAGCAAAAAGTAACAAGAAAGACGGGACTGGCCGCCTTTCAAAGTTGCCGTGGTGGCAAGAGAAACCACGGCTTGCATTGGCCCGTCAAAAGCCACACATTGTAAGACAGTCTGCAACACCGCGAGGCACACACTTGAACACGGACGAGATGTGTGTTGGTTACTGAAGTTCCTTTCTCCTTTCTCTTCGTATCAGTGGGAGAACGCCTTTCAGCCGCAGTTCGCCCCCATGAGCTGATGCTGGAATATTTGCTTTTAAGCTCAAATCCCTAGATATGATTCGTTCAAGGGTCGCACGGGGACGTCTGCGGTGGTGATTGTGCCATGGCAGTCTGGTTGTGCAGCCTGCCGGCCAATGCAGTGTAATGCGTTAAATATGACATGTCTTCTGTCGTCCAGTGAATAATATATTGTTGGATTGTGTACTGATCACACCACACTGTAGTTGTGCTAGTCCAAGATGAGGCTCCTCTGATCAGACATGTCGTAAGGGAAGATGCAAATATTGTCCTGCAAGGTCAGAGTATTCGTATGTCAACAGGCCATGTGATTTCTCGTTCATACTACATATCATATCTACCCACAAAAGTCTTTTATCAATGGCCCCGTCCCAATGAGGCTTGGTTCCGTGCTATTGGCTGGTGTGCCGACGCTGCAGTTCCGAATGCTGTACGGAGTAGAGTACCACGCTTGTGGAAGCTGGAGACAGCTGTTGACTTCACGTATCATCTGCGGGTCAGCACCGAGCAGCAGTCCATGCATGAAGTTGCGGAATTACCTGGCGTATGAAATAATAATGGCTTCCCGCACATTGGCAAGGTGGTAGCGGGGGTTTTCCAGTACATTGATATATGTTGCTGGGAAAACTACCCGTAGGAGTGTGCTTGAAAGCTGATGATTGGAGCATCTTGTCAACTCAGTCAGTGTTACGACGACCCAAGTCTCGTCTTACTCGCCAAACTCGAGATCCAACGGGGCGTTTCTGGTTTCCATCTAAAATTTCTATCCATGGTATCGTAGATATCATGGCGTGCTCGTTTTCCCCAGGTTGTGCCCTTTCTTCACTTGCTTCGTCTTCACTTGTCTCTTCGTCTGTTATATGGACTTCCTTGTCTACTAGCTCGTCTTGAGAAGATTTGGCGAAGAGGTCTTCAGTATAAGCCCAATAGGGGGTGTCGAATCTTCCATGAACAAAGACAATATCCCTCCCCTCTACCTTGATTTTTTCTAGGCTGGCGTATGGTGTTGGCGTGATAACTTGTAGACACTTTCGTTTCAAGTCTAATCCTCGAACAAGGGCAAGCCCGATTGTTTTGCAATACTGAGGGTCGAGCGTTGCGTCATCGGGATTTGGAATGAATGGCAAGTCCTCAGCCGTTCTAGTGACTACCACTTCCGGAGTCTTGGTGCTGTCTCGACCACCTCTGATTTCGGGAGTTGCCGTAAATTGCCGGAAGGCTTCCGGCCCTTCAATTTCGACTATGGCTAGTATTGACCCGTTGATAGAATCCGCTAGAAGCTCTGGAGTGCACTGGTAGTCATAAGATATAATTCCAAAAAAACCACTATTGCTGCCATGATATGAAACCATGAAGGGTCTTGCGGACGAAATAGCATGGGCGGACCAAGTGAGCCGCAGTGGTCTCAACCGCTTGTTCTCGATATCAACATGAGAATGATAGTACGACATCATTTGCATTGACCGGAAATGAGCAGCAGTTCGGGAGGTAAATTCCGATGGTTGTGACGGAAGCATGCTGAATGAATTCTTGGTCGCGTTCTTCAATACATCCACAACATCGGCAGGGCCATCTTCTGACATGTATATGACTTCGGCAGGACGAATCCTAGTGATCAGCTCCACAAGGAGATCTAAGCCTGTGCCTAGGATCCAACCTGGGGTGTTTACTATAAGGGGGCAAGTACGAAGCGACCTTTGGTATGTGCCATACAGGTCGGTGGCGCATGAGACGAGAAGATCGGGTGCTGAAGCTGGAGTAACAGACGCTAAAGAGTGGCATCTCAGAATGGTGTTCGACGGATCATTAAAGGCAGCGTGAGTAAATGGGACTCCGAAGTTCGGGTTTGAGACGCATACGAGTGATACGGTACCGGGTGGAGCATATTCGGGTTGTCCAGGGTCAAGGTCAAGCACTGCCACTCGTTTGACAGGATTCTCACCATTTGAAGACGATGTCAGAAGGCGGTTTGTGAGTAACCTCGAGAAGGTCGACTTGCCTGTGGATTTTGGTCCACAGACAAAAGTTGTCCGCAGGCTTGTCCCTGAAATCGACAGCAAGGATGCCAATTTCTTGTTCCACTCCGGTGGAGAGACCAATTCTTGAATGACACATCTCCTAGGCGCATCTGAAGATGACCCTATCTAAAAAAATGTCAGTCAAGCCAAATATGTTGCGAGCCATTCGGTACATACTATTTGGAACGTCTGCGCTCCAGTTGTAGTCCCATCGACTGTCTCACTTGGCTCATTCCATATTCTCCGAAATAGAGGTGAGAGACGACCTAGCTTTCTTAAGCTATTCAAACCAGGGTCATTATGCAATTCCAGTCGAGAGTCTTGAATGGTTCGAATCACAGGCACAGCCAGGCAGTGCGGGGCGGAAACCCAATTTATGTTCGCGGCAGCACGTAGTGTTGCTCCTGCTAAAGTGACTTCGCCGCCTACTACTCTGATTCCAAAGCAGCCTAGGATAACAAATCTCTACGAACCTTTAGCGGTTGCATCTCGTAAATCTGTGGCACAAAAACATACCTCACCCTCATCCAATGTAAGCTCCAGGACCCCCCCCGCTTTTGTTCGACAATTGCTTTTGGTTAAAAGAAAAGAGGAATAATTGATGGTCTGGGATAAGGTAGCGGAGTATGAAGATGTTACGTCTTCTGGGATTCGATTATCTGGTAATCGTCTTAAAAATTGTCAGAAGGAGGTCGTCAAAACGAGGCAGTTTTTGCTCAGCTTACTCGGCTGCCTCTGGATCATCCGCTGCCACGGGTCGACAGCCGTCATTTCGGGGTGCAACACTCTGTTTAGACCTCTTCTTGGGAGGACGAGTAGCCTTTCTATCAGGAATAGGAGCCTGGAGAGCGCTGAAGGAGTTTGTACTTGGTGCCAACGGCTCTGCCAGGTTTGCAGGCTCAGTGGCTTGGCTTTGGGCCACAGATGCAGCTTGCCGTCGACGAGCAGCAATTGCACTAACGGCGCTGACCGGAGCTAGAAGAAAAGAAAGTGTTAGCTTAGCTATCCCATTCCACAACTGGATTTTATTTTACTACAAGATTAATGAAAGGAAGAGGGTAGAGGCGTGTGGTTCATACACTGAGGAGGGCCTTGGCCATCCAGCTTGCGACGCTTACTAGACGACATGCTTAAGTCGTGCAATTCAAGCGCAGGCTTTTGGTAAGCCTAATCGCTGTACTGTCAGATATCAAAGGAAATAAATCTCCTTTCTTGCTCCGAGGTAAGGATTCGACAAGACATTCAAGCGAGGAGCGACTAGAAAGAAGGAGGACCAGCGACGGAGAAGGTGAGGTTTCTTATCGATAAGCACAATTGGTGCAGGCTTGGGAGTTTTTCCCTGCCACTCGGCTTTATTAAAGACCCTGCGCGCGGCGCGAATGTGGGGCCTCGCGCAGAGCCGTCGCCAAAATTTCACAGCTTCCGCCCGTCTTCAACCTCCCACTTCTTCAACTCAACCACCTTGGGATACCAGCCAATTGTACTCTCGCAACGGCACATTGAGTGCGTACTGCTCGTCCACAATGGCACCCAAGGAACCTTTCAAAGTTCACTCTTTGAGCAAGCACATTGAGGATACGAAGAAGGGCCTCAGTGCTGAAGCTCAGTACAACAAACGGCCCATCGGCAAGTCGAAAGCTTCGTTCAAGAGGGAACCCGGCACTATTGACAAGGCCATTTTCGGCAACGAGTCTGAAGACGACGATAGCGGCAGCAGCAGCAGTGGGAGTAGTGATGAAGACGGCTCCGACTTTTTGCGGAAGCTTCAAGCTTCAAAAACATCTACAAATGCAACTCCCAAGAAGCGCGTCAAGAGAGAGGAGATTGCCGATAGCGACGATGAGCGCCGCTCAACCGCCAAGAATGTCACGTCGGTCAAATCAAAGCAACTGGTGCAATCCGGTGCGCCTTCATCGGATGACTCGAGCAGTGAATCCGAGTCCGAATCAGGATATGGGGCTAAGCTGAAGTCAACCAAAGGTGAACAGAAAGTGAGAGCAAACGGAGCGCCATTGAAAACTGTGGCTCCGTCCAGCTCCGGCTCCAGCTCTGATTCTGATTCGCAAGAGGAAGAAGGAGACGAAAGCAGTAGTGATGAAAAACCACCTAAGGAGGCAACTGCGGCAAAAGTCAAAGAGTCGACCTCATCAGACCAAGAGTCCAGCGATAATGCCAGTGACGAAGAAAGTGACGAAGAAAGTGACGACGAAAGTGAGCCAGCGGCTTCTGCAAAACCCAAGCCAGCGATCACGTCGACCAATGGCACTTCCACAGCCACCACTTCGGAGACAAGCTCCAGCGATGAGGGTACTGATGACGAGGATAAGACGGCTGCCCAAGCAAAACCAGTCGCTACGGGGAAGTCAGTTCCCGATGAGTCATCAGATGATGCATCCGAAGAATCGAGCGAAGAAGAAGACGCAGACGTGTCAATGCACATTGCTGATCGTCAGCATGATCGTCGGGCCACTGTCCCAGACTTTATCGCCCCAGACTTTGTTCTTCGCAAAAGTGATGGTGGGACCAACGGACAAGACGTTGCTCGCATTTGCAGCCAAGCCAATCTGCAAGGGAAACAAGTCTGGTACTTTACGGTGCCAGCTAACGTACCCATCTCGGTTGTACAGAATATGGAGATCCCTATGAACCAATCTCAAAGCGGCGACAGCATCTTCTCGCACAATGGCGAAGATTATGGCATTTCTGTGGACAGTATGACTCCAAAGAGCTCGATTCAAATTCTAATACCCTCTTCTGACGGAACGCGATATCGATCCGGTAAGACTTGCCTAGCATACCCTTGTCCTATCTCAAATTGAATAACAGCATGACTGACCGAGATCTCTATTCAGCCTCCCGACCAATTGACCAAGTAATGCAAGTCAAGAAAATCACACAACTTGGCCAAGGCTTAGGGGCTACTTCTTCTGTCGGACCTACTCCGAAGCCACCGGCTCGACAACAGCCCGAGGGCCTCAAAGCCAGATATCAACCATATGGAGTCACTAGTCCCATGGGTCAAATTGGTGTAGATGTATCCTTCCGGGTTGAAAATGATACAGAGATGGCCGATACTCCTGCTCCTGCTCCTGCTATCCCCTCTAGCAGCCCACAGAGCAAGTCGGACAAGAAGGAAAAGAAAAGGAAGGAGAAGGAAAACGGCGAGTCTAAGACGCCAAGAAAGGGCAAAAGAAAGCACATTTCTTCTGAAGATGATGCGGTCGCTGCTACAGAACAACTTATGGAGGAGAACCTGTCCGCAGAGACCAAAGCAAAGAAGCAAAAGACTGAGCGCGTTGGAAGTCCAGATCTCGGATCCGATGCGCCGCCATCGTCTGTCTCCAAGAAACAGACGCTCCTTGTCCCCCCGGCCATTCCTGGATCAACGCCCTCGTCGAAGTCCAAGTCCAACAAATCTAAGCCCGAGACTCCAGCACCAAAACCTCGCCAGACGGCAGTTCCTGTCCCTCAAGTGCCCGGATCATCTCAACTAAAGGTTTCCCCTGTCCCCCTTCCTCAACCTGGCGTAGCTTCCACGCCTCTTGCAGAAAGGGACAACAAGAAGTCCAAGAAGAAGAAGACAAAGACTCCTGATGCCACGGCAAAAACTCAGCAGAGTCCTCCTCCAAGTGCACAGCCAGCAGGCAAAAACAGCAAGATAAAGGTGACTCCTGTACCGATGCCAAAGCTAAAGACCACAGGCTAGGCACCTCGATCCAGCTCTGGACAACATTTTCGCTGGCTAACGAAGACTGGAAATCTATGATCAAGAGCCAATCTCGGCTAACGAGTACTGGTTCTGGAAAGAAGGCGATATTCCGCATGGATCTTTTTTTTTTTTTTGTTCCCTCGGTCAGGAGAACCGACGAGAGTTGCTATCCAACGATATCAAGGATAGGTTAGCTTTTCTGCACAGCTACGGTGCTCGGCGTTTTAAGGATATGGACTACGTTTGGCAATTCTTTGGTTGCGATTTTGATTTTGATTTTAATTTTGATTTTTTTTTTTTTTTTTTTTTTTGGTATGGATTCATGGGTTTATCATTGCGTCCTACTGACGTGGATGAGGGTTCTTTATCTGGCAAAGACAACGAGCGGAGTTGAGTCCTGGCCTGCGAAGACAATTCTTTCAAGGAAAGGATGAAGTGGCGTAAGTAACGTCGGGTAGTTGCTGGTAACAGTTTAAATGTTGTCTTCTGACTTCACTCACGGATGAAAGTGAGCGGAAAGTGAACTGAGTTAAAGGGAAGGTGGGTAAGAAAGACAATACAAACGGGTGCCAGCTTGTGTTTGCCTCGCCCTTGGCTATTGGACCAGAAGAGCAGTATTTGTGCTCGGAGATGGATGAAGGGGATGGATATTGTCGAAACGGCTGCATAAAAGCTTAGTGGTAGGACAGGACATAGGATTGAGGTAGTGAAATCAAGCAGGTAACACCCTTAAGTTCAAGTTGTCCATGGTTCTCGATTCGTGATTGCTATTGGATATTCTAGTTGGCTCCTCAAGAACACACCTAGTACTGAAGTAGGTATGCATGTGATGGAACCAACGTCCTCAAACAGCAGCTCTGCGCGTTTCAACACTCACCTCTTTATTGACCCGAAACATACACGCGAGACATGCCTTTCAACAAGAGTCAACGGAAAGCAGGACCATAGTACCATGGAGAACACTCTAGCCATCACACATTCGCCTGGCTTTTGAAAAGAGTGCTAGTAGCAGCTACAAAAACATGAACCCTGCAACACATCATGCCTCCAGAAAAGAAGCCCTTGCTCTGTCCGAGCTTGCCAAACAAAAACAGCGCAAAAAAGCGAACACAAACACCCTACAAATCCCCAAATGGAAACATTGCAGGAGCCGGGCACGCTCCGTAATCTTAAAAAAAAAAATAATGTTGAAAACGCGCAGCTTTTTTACTCGGCTTGGCCCCCGAGCAAGGGCAACCACTCGACTGCCTGTGCAACCCAACGGTCTTTAAACGAGCGTGAAAACTTGGCCCCCGGCGTCCACCCCCAAAGCCAATGTCACACGAAACGAAATTCTTCCCACAGTGCCCTGGGCGGCGCCGGGGGGCAGCGGAAAAGAAAATCAGCCATGCATCCCGACGAAACACCAATGCCACATGTGGCGCTCTGTGCCTTGCATCTCGGAGCAAGGGCGGCGAGGGGGAGTCAACCAGACCGGCAGCTGGTCATGGCCGCCGAGCATCACGTCTTGTTGCTGGGCAGGGCAGATTGCCAGCGTCCGTGCCCTGGGCCTTGGAATACCTGACAGCGTGACAAAAAGGAAAGCCACAAAAAAACAATATATATTTTAGAAATAAATCAATAAATACCCAAGTAAATTGCGCAGCTTGCCGTGAGGAGATGCAGTCGTGAGACCGGCACACAGAATGGGCAGTGCTGGGCTGATTCGGGTTGCTCACGCAGGGCTTGGCATGCGGAAACTTGGTTTTTTGATTCCGCGAGCCAAAACATCTAAAGTGATGTGGGAACAATCACATCTTATGAATAATGGTGCGTACTCCGTACAATACATCAAAGGTGCATGTACTCCTCCGTATTTATTATGTGCGACTCCAAAGAAGAAAAGACGTCGGGCTTCATCTCCACATGATTAAAGGAGAGGCCGCCCAAACATCATTGCCGGAGGTGTCAACCCTGCTCACCGAGAAACAGAGTCGGAAATAATGATTCAGCAGGGGCACTATATTTGGGTGCTCACGGTCGTGGACGGGTAATTACAGAAGGGTTACGGAGTACGGAGTACGGGTTAATACTATGCATGTTTGCCAGTCCAGAATGGTCGATCTGCCAGTGTCTTGTTTGATCCAATATTGGTTCGCTGAGGTAGCATTGCGGACCGGGGGGTTGCTAGCGAGAAAGAACCAACGAGAATTTCATGTCGGTGACTCTTTTTTACATCCTCTTCACCTTGGTCCGGTACTACCGGCACTTTCATTCCTCGCCGCCTGGGCTCAATGGACGGGCGCGAACCAAGAAAATTATGGTATGCAAAGAGGGCTGGGTCCATCTTCGCGGTCAAGATGCCTACTAAGTACTCCGTAGGATCGGTGATTTGTGCTACGAGTGGATTTGTGCAAATACCATGTCCAGTTCTTTGTGTGGCTTCTCCATACAATAGGTACTCCATGCCTCGTACATCAATATTTATTTATTCGTGATTTATTAAATTTAGCATACTCTTGGCCCGCCCTAGACCCAAGATCTGTCTGTCGCCCTATTTTTCACAAGTACGCCATGGAGAGCCTCCAGGTGCTAGTTTTTTTTTTTTTTTTTAAAGCTTGCGACCATGCAGCCGCGGCTCATGGCACCACCAGAGCAACGATTGATTCTTTGCCTCTTCCAGACTAAAATTGTCAATTCTCATCCCCTTTTTCTAACAATGACCCAAAACAGGCATTGGACATCACACGGCTGAACAAGCACACCAAGTACTTGTTGGTGGGTAATAATGCCGTGTAGCTGACGAAGGGATGGAGTCGTGAGAAATTGCTTCTCTACCCGACTCGCCTGGGCTTACGTGATGGAACCAACAGCTAGCCCATTTTGAGAGCGACGCCAAGACTCAATGTACGTAACTCCGTAGTACTTACAATTAGAACGTGTGGCAGACGAAGTACCCCATGGAGAGCCTCCAGGTGCTAATTTTTTTTTTTTTTTTAAAAGCATGCGACCATGCAGCCGCGGCTCATGGCACCACCAGAGCAACGATTGATTCTTTGCCTCTTCCAGACTAAAATTGTCAATTCTCATCCCCTTTTTCTAACAATGACCCAAAACAGGCATTGGACATCACACGGCTGAACAAGCACACCAAGTACTTGTTGGTGGGTAATAATGCCGTGTAGCTGACGAAGGGATGGAGTCGTGAGAAATTGCTTCTCTACCCGACTCGCCTGGGCTTACGTGATGGAACCAACAGCTAGCCCATTTTGAGAGCGACGCCAAGACTCAATGTACGTAACTCCGTAGTACTTACAATTAGAACGTGTGGCAGACGGTGGATTGTTGTTATGCCAGTTGCGGTGCTCTCCATATGTTTTATTGCACCGAGTATCAATATTAATACGTGTGTTGATCTACGATCGACGACGCCTGTCAAACTGTTTCGTGCCGAAACGACATCTCATCCCACTCCATGTAACAAGCTTGGGCCACGGCCGTTGGATTGCGAGGCGATTCCCCCATCATGCGGCCTTCTACTGCAGCAGGCGCTATCAAGTGTCCTCGGCGCATTCTTCCACAGCACAATCATATGACCCTCCGGCAAGAGAGCCGTTCGCTTTTGCAGGCCGATGTTTCTGTGTCTCTCTCATCTTGCATATGTACATACGGCTGGGCGGGGTATCGTTTCAAGTTTCTTTGGTGTACTGTTTGTGTGTCGCGGTGGCGGCGGTTGGCTACAAAGACTTGACGACATGTACGGAGTATCAGTACGGCCAACACCAATGAGCTGGCTGCTCAAGCGTCTACGAAGAGCTTTTCGAGGTCGGGTGCGCTCCCTTGAACGCCAAGGCAAAAAGGTGGCTGGTGGTGCGAGCCCGCGAATTCCTCATGCGTCTGATGCTCAGCATGGCCTCCACGTCTCGAAACTCCAAAGAGACCAGCCAGTGGCATGCATACCTTCGAGTGAAGGTTGTGGCCTGGTCCTGAGCTTGCATGTCGTCATCCGTTTTGCCAGCACAAACCCTCTAGGTGCGCGTCTTGAGAATCTACTCGCGCTACCGGAAGCCACGATTGGTCTCCGTCCTGCCGTCGTACCATGAAGAATCGCCTTGCAACAGACATGACGTGCGCATACCCGAGTGGTTCTAACGCGCTGGTCCCCGCCTCCAAGACCCCTTTTTTGCATTTTTGTCGTCGTCGCGCGTTGCTGGTACTCCTGATGCTAGTCTCTTGCGGCTGCTATTGGTCTTCAAACGCCTCTGGACCATGCTTCTGGTCCCACGTTCGTTGGATTTGCTCGATAAACAAGGGACTTTTTAGGAGATTGGCCCTGGGAATTAATTAAGCCCGTCTTTCAGCTTGCTCAAAACATTGCTTGTCTGGAGGCCGTCCCGCGACCGCGCGCCGCCCAGACCACGAAAACACTCCTGTCATCAATCATGGGGAAATGACACTCGCAGGGGTCGTCATGCTACACACGCCACAGTCTCGTGCTCTGTAGCCCAATTGACATGACTGGCTTGACTATTTCGAATTGGCTCAGCGCTGTCATTGTCGTAGTAACCCAACCAGGGAGTGTGATGGCGATGCCCGGTGCTACTGAGCTGCGCGATGAAATGAGATCCGACCATACATCTCGTCATCCTTATGAACCAGGCCTCCAGGCGTGCTGACAATGTTGTATTATGAGATTTGAGCTTTGGATACCGATGCCGAGCCAGTGGATCTAGAATTGTTTCCGACAACAGGGTCCAAACCTGGTAGGCTGCTTTGATGGTACTACTTACTAGTTACTAGCTAATGGTAGTTGATGCCAGACCATTTCATCAATCTGATTGCTGCTCCGGCTCTGCCGCCCGGGAGGCAGAAGGGGGTTACTGGTTGAAGCTCGACACACGGCAGCTCCAACTGTCCAATGGAAATCGTGACTGCTCGCCTCGTGGCTGTCTCCTATCGAGGCTTTTGCCAAGAATCGATTTGTTGCACAGCATCATCTCCGCACGGAGTACTCCGTAGTCCGTATCATATCCGGAGTTTATGATGGTCGGATAGCTCGGGATGGGCCACTAGATTTTTGTGCGGTACGTGGTTCGCATTCCTCGGTTCGCACCAGATCTAGACTGTCTCACACCGCAACTGGCCTGCCACCAAATTGGCGATTCACTCTTCTTTTACGGAGCACGGAGTAGTCGAACGTCATCTAGTCCCAGGCGCAGAGAAGAAGCGCTCGGCATATTCAGAACATGTCTGTCTCAATATAATGTCATTTGAGTTGTTCCACCACACCCTTGCTGCTACTGTATTAGTAGTCGCATTCTGCCTCGCATTTCCCCTCTCTTCAATGGCACGCTGGAGACTTCTTGTGGCATGCGGGATCGATGCAGCGCCGTGCAGATGCAGCTGGACAATACTGGTTGGCCAACTTGGATTGGAGACGAGAAAGTCTCCCAGTATCGATCACGTCTTGTACGGCTTACCGCCAGTTAACTTCCAAATGCTGCCATTTAGCAGTCACAAGGTAGGTGGTCCAATCCACAATGTGTGCCTGACTACAGCCCTCGCGCACGCATCCGTTATGACGTGCCGGCATTTGCCAACCTCTGTTGCCGACCGTCAGGGTGGATGTCCGGTCTGCTCCTAGCATGAAGAATCCGGTGTTGTAGGGCCGGCCGAGAGGGCATTTGAGGGCCTGGTGGCGGAGGGGTGTCATCGATCTTCCCTACAAGATTGCTCGATATTGTGACGGCCTGCGTCTCACCACACGACTCGGCCAACATGCTGGTATGAATAAAATAATACACTGCGCTTGACTTTCGTCTTGCTGGTGACAGCGTGGAGCAAAAAGCACTTGGGCATGGTCCGGCATCCGACCAGACATGACGTTGCTGGCCGCGTAAAGGCCCAGGGCTGAGCCTAAGAGCAGCGTAAGCGCATTGCTCCGTAATGCACACCAAGCGCAGCGAGGGAGCGCTAGTGAGCGTTTGGTTTCCGCTGTTTTTGGCGGCCGAGTATGGAGGAGTAAAAGTGAAGCTGCGAGCGTCATGACGACACTGCAGACAAACAGGAGACCATCACGATGTTACGCAGTGCCGCAGACGTGGATCATAGGTACCTACCAGGTAGGTATATACTGGTGAGCCGCATCGCACTTTCCGTTTCGCCGTACGGAGTATCCGGCACTGGCGAGGACGCCGCTGCTCCGCCGGGGTTGGATATTGGCGTGATGCATCGAATCTGTTAGATGGCCAGCGACAATCCGATTGTCCAGGACGCTTCGGTCGCGTGCCTGCTGTACATGTGCTGGTGGTTCCATCTTGACACGGGCAGCCGTACATTGCGAGAACCCCGAGCTGCTCGACTAGATCAAGTGGCTTTGGGTGTCTGCACGTGTCGGCCTCGCTTCCACCGACTTCTCGTCTTCTAGCCAACCACACAAGGGACGGCAGGGGCATCTGGGCCTTGAGTCTGCAGCTCCAAATGTTCAACTTGAGCTACGTACCAGACGTGTGTCCAGTGTTTGATCTGAACCAGCTGCAGCCAATCCAAGCCCCTGTCGAGGGCCTAGGGCTTGTGGCACCCGGCTCAAGCCACTGCAATTTCCAGCCACAAGCCTGTTGCTGGCCGCTGGTCCTACAAATTGGCTGTTCCACCAGACACTTTAGCCGCCCTCGATGAGGCCTAGCGCATGGATTCTTCAATTTTTTTTTTTGCCCTTAGTCCCTAACCCCCGGGCCCCCCCGGCCTGGAGCGCTCCCGCCAATTTCCCAGCGCCGCCAAGATGGAAAGTGTACTTGTGTCCAATGTAACGAGTACTAATTCCGCAGCTTCCGGCGGGCATGGGTGGTGGTTCATCCCTCCGTTCAAGCTGCAGTTTGGGAGCTCACCGACATCTCAGTGCATCCGGACCTCTAACACAATCTCCACAGCCGCCTGAAGCCCGCCAAAGCGCCCAAAAGCCGCCTGAATCATGCTGCACCTCTCGGTGACGTTCACAACCACGCTCACCGCTGACAACACTGAACTCTACAAGTCATCACTTCATCTGTTCGTGATAGCGCTTCGCCGGCCTCACGCCAAGGTGCAGCTAAAACCAAATCTTAATTGGCAGTAAACGTGCCCGGGTAGCGTAGCGTAGCGTCCGTCGCCCTCGCGGCAAAGCGCAATGCGCAGGTGTGCACTCTGGTCAATCTCAGACAAGGCATGATGCAGTTTTGCAGGCTTTGTGCTCTTTCTTGTCTTCCTCCAATGTTCAATCAAAGTGCTCGCCCCGGCGCCAAGAAGGTCAACTGGTTCGTCCTCCGCCGCACGGAGAGGCACCAAAACCCCGTTCGGCCATGGTTTGCCATGCTCCCATCTCCATGACCCTTTGCCCATCTTGTTAGCCTGTCGCCCTGCCGGCCAAGCCCAAGCCTCCATGTCCCACGCCCCCAGGCCGCTTCGCCCGTCCTGATCTTGACTTGGCCCGCCTGCTCCGTAGCGCAACACTGACTTAGTGTAGCCTTGCTTGTCTCCCATTCCTCTTTCCTGTGGCCCGGCCCTCTTTAGTACCTCGTCCGCCTCTTTTGCTTCCTCTCTCACCTACGTTGCTCCTCTCCTACTCCATACTCGTCTTCCTCTGACTTTCTTTCCACCCGCCACGACTTTCCTTCTTCCTTTTTTTCCTTTCCTTCTTCGCTCACACGTGCCTCGAGTCGCCAACCGTCCCGTACTCCTCCGCGACGCCGATCATCCTCATCATCGTGGCACGTGCCGAGAAACCGCACCGTCTCTGTCGCCTGACGTCTACTGGCTATTCGAGACCCTTCGGAAGACCCGGTTTCCGCTCAGCTTTGGATTATGAGATAGAATTTGGGTATCTTTTTTACTTCAGATATTTGTCACCGCCCTCGACGGGACCCTGACGCCCTCGAAACGCACTCCCCGTCTTGTTGTGCGCCAGATCTCAGTCGCCTCTCGCGTTGAGAACGTCTCGTCGAGCCCGAACGACCTTTTCCCTCTCCCCTTAACCCCCCCGGCGAACCGCAATCGTGGCTTCAGCTCCGTTGATATTCCTATCATGAAGGATCTTCCCGGCTCCGTTCCGGGAAAGCCGGTTCTGCCGTCGCTATGGACTGAGAACTTGACTATCGCATTTTTGAACCGCCTCCCCAACCGCTACCATGTTGGCCGACGACGCGCCCGATCCAAATCCAAGATAATACACCCCGGCGCAGAAGACATCACTGCCTTGCGAACATCTTTCAACTTCTGGGATGGTTTGCGTGATCTTCAAAGGCACAGATGGAGAGCATCAGACCTGCAATACGTCTTCCTAATCGGATTGACGCTCTTTTCCCTTTGGATTGCTCCTCCTGCCCCCGCCCTCAAATTTTTCGCCTTGGTAGCTGTATCTTGGATTTTTCTCATGCCCGCCACCCGACAGTTCTTTTTGCCAGCTGTGACGATATGGGTTTGGCTTGTCTATTTTTTCTGCAGTCGGTATGTAATTTTCCGCGTCTTTCCACGTCCCACCTTCCTTCTCCCCTCGTTTGAGAGAAGTTCATTGTTCATCTGCGGGCTTTGTAATCGAACTCGGCAATGCTAACCAGAACGTTTCATAGCTTTATCCCTTACGATTACAGGCCCCATATTTGGGTTCGAGTGCTGCCGGCCCTCGAAAATGTCTTGTACGGCGCCAATTTGTCCAATATCCTCTCCGCTCACAAGCACGCTATCCTTGACATTCTAGCCTGGCTCCCCTATGGTATTATTCACTTCGGGGCTCCTGCGGTGTGCTCCCTCCTCATGTTCATCTTTGCCGCTCCTGGGACAACTCCCGTGTTTGCGCGAACCTTTGGCTGGATGAGCATACTTGGCGTCACTATCCAACTGATGTTCCCGTGCACACCTCCTTGGTACGAGAATGAACATGGCCTAGTCCCAGCCATGTATGGTATGGAGGGTTCCCCCGCGGGTCTTGCTCGCGTCGACAAAATATTCAATATCGACCTCTATACGACCAACTTCACCAACGCCCCTCTTCCGTTTGGTGCGTTTCCGTCATTGCATGGAGGATACGCTGTGCTGGAGGCTCTTTTCATGAGCCATTGCTTTCCTCAGTTCCGAATGTTCTTCATTGGCTATGTCGGGTGGATCTGGTGGTCGACCATGTACCTCAGCCACCATTATGCCATCGATCTTGTCGGCGGTGGCCTCATTGCCGTAGGATTCTTCTACTCTGTTCGAGCGCGATATCTGCCTCAGCGCCAGGCCGACAAGATCACACGGTGGGAGTACGAATTTGTCGAAATTGGAGACCGCCACCGGCTTGCAGATGAAGAGTGCGGACACGAATATTTCGGTCTCGGATTGCTAGAACAACGTCGAGAAAACTCAAGCGATGGCTGGACGCTGGGAAGCAGCTCCAGCAGCGGCACGCTGAGTCCAACTATCTCTGAGGACACAGTCCCAGGGATGATGGTGATGGACATATCGAGTAACGGCCAAATATGGGACGGTAATGCGCCGCCTCGAGATGTCGAATTAAGCGAAGTCGTCGTCGTTCGACAACAGAATTAGGAATGAAACGCAACGAAAATCGGCACAAAACTTTCACCCGCGTATAATAACACGCTCCGACGACTCGACACTATTAGCTCATCATCTTACTCGCCTCCTTTCATCGCGGGGCCACTTTTTAACGACAATTGCTTATGATTCTCGGCATACTGCCAAATCAACTTCCACATGATTAATCTTCGAACCCACCTTTTTTTTTTTCAAACATCTTTGGCATTCATCGGCACAGCGAATTGGCGCAACGTGGTGTTTTACCTTTTTTAATTTGGACTCATGGCACTTCCTAGCAAACGTGGCGGCCCTCTGACTAATTTCGTCAGTTGGCTTATAATGATGCTGAAAGGGGACGAATAGCCACGGGGAGTGAACTTGGTCCAACGTACTGCATATAATAGCCACGAAAACGGCTTGCAATGATAGAGTACGTAATGTATACATACCAAGTAATTCGTGCATATATGGGTCAATAGGGAAGGGTTAACATGCACCGATACGCTCGCTAGTGAGCCTGGCAGTGGACGGGAAAGGCGCTCATGATTTGGACATATTGGACAGGCGGTTACCTGTGATTGCCCGCGAGGGCAGGCAGAAGTTTTAGGACTTGTGTGGCTTGTGGTGATGAACCCCAAGGGAAGGGGGGGGACCCGGTCGTCTTGAAGGGATGATCGGAGAGGAAAGGAGAAAATACCAAAGATGCCACTCGCTAGAAACTAGAATTAGAAAGGAATGAATCCTTGAACAAACTGTAAAAATATCACCACATTTGAGCATTTAGCCGTGACGAAACTTGGAGGGTATGGGAGAGGTGTATACGGCCGCGAACAAGTCCAGTGGATAGCTGGGCCGAGTCTCTTCACTCCAGAAATGGTCCGACTTAATCGCCTCCTTGCAAAAACATGAAAGGTCCCCATCAATTATCCGGACTACCTGGCCAATGTCTTTTTCATTACGTCACAAACCACGGGCTTTGTCAAGTAGAGGTCATTGTTGGCTCGAAATTCAAACTCGGATATAATTTTGCATCTGCACCGCCCTTCATAGATCATTACTCAATTCGTAAGCATCCTACAGTTCATTCCACCCGCTCGTCATCTAAACAAGACTCTATAAGAGAAACAAAACATTTCGACAAAAGAAAACGCCATGAGCCTACAGGACAAATCGGGCTTCCAGAGCGCTTAATGTCCAACTCATATCTCCTTCGCTTATGCATGTCGACTGTGCAAGGTGAAAAAGAAAGGAAGGAGGTTAATGTGATTCAAGAGAAGAAAAGTTCATGTCGAGGTTGTCGTGGCGTCAAATTTACCTGTTTGATGTAGGGGCGCTCCAGAGACCTTTGCTTGTTTGTATGACCTTGTTCGCTTGATTACCTGGTTGTAGGGAGGCGGGGACACTGCTGAGGGCTGGTACGGCAGTGGCATTGCCCATGGCGACGTCTGCGTCGTGCTGTGTGCCGTAGCCCGAGTCCTCTTTGCCGAGCGAGATGCCGCTGTCGTCCTTGCGGGTTCCGTTCCCGTCGCAGCGCGGTGCTGCGCCGCGGCCGGGTTCTTTTGAGCGAGCGCCGTCCATGAGGTGCTGGGCCTCGCGGAGCTTGTTGATGGCGCGAACAGTATCGATGGCTGCGTGGAGGGTACGGCGGGCGTTGAAGTTCTTCTTGATGGTGGGGAGGAGGTTCTCGCCTGCTCCATCGGTGGGCTCTTCGGCGGCAACGAAGGCGTGCTGGAGGGCCTCGTGAGCGGTGATGCGTTTGGTGTGGTCGATGGTCAGGCATCGACGGATGAAGTCCTTGGCATTGCTGGAGACGCCGCGCCAGTATTCTATAGGCGTGAAGCTGTAGTCTGCGTTTAAAATTGCCTGCATTTCTTCAAAGTCGGAGTCGCGGTCGAACGGGGTGTAGCCGCAGAGGAGGAAGTAGGTGATGACTCCCAAAGCCCAAAGGTCAACGGGCTTGCCATGGCCCGTTTTTTTGAAGATTTCCGGAGCCATGTACCCTGGTGTGCCGCAAGTGGTTGTGAGAACGTGAAACTGTTCTTCGTCCATGATACGTGAGAGGCCAAAATCCGCAATAAGCAGGTCCGCGTTGTCCTCTGGCGTTCGGAACAGAAGATTCTCGGGCTTGAGGTCGCGGTGGACTATACCGTGGTCGTGCAAGTAGGCTACAGCAGATAGGGTTGCGCGGATAAGGTCGGCGGCGTCGGATTCGTAGTATGATCCCTTGCGACAAATTCGGTCAAAGAGCTCACCACCAAGAGCCAAGTCGGTGACAAGGTAGAGGTTATTCATCGTCTCAAAGTAATCGACAAGAGTCAGAATGTTTTGGTGGCCCATAGATACCTTCTTGAGGACGGCGATTTCGTTGCGGACCTAGACAACATGGCCAAGACGTTATCAGCAAGCAATCTCCAGAGTGTATTGTTCGAACCGGTGACGATGCGACATGTCAAATCAAGAGTCGGGAAGTTTTCACGAACCATGTGCTCACGACCTGCCATAAGCCGCTTGTTGATAACTTTGGCGGCATAGTATCGACCGGTATCAATATGAACACATTCCTTCACGACAGAGTACGAGCCAGCTCCCAGCGTCTTTCCGACCTTGTATCTACAAGGCTGGATCTGAGGCTGCTGTTTCTGCTGTTGACTGTCCATCTTTCCTCTACCGGCGTGTTCGCAAAGAAGGGCCAGAAAAAAAGCGACAGGACGTCACTGCGAAATGTTTGCCTCGCGAGGCGTGGGCAGGGCCGTTCGGGGTTCTATGTAATGGTTTGCGAATGCGGCCTTACGAGTGGCAGCACCGAACAAAGACGCAATATATCTCTTCGTCCTCAGGTCACGAGCGACGTATCGAGGTATTGGTATTTTGGTCCGTATGGAGGCTGCAACGCTCCCTGTCGATTTTGTGTTCGGCCTATGGGTGTATCTCTGCGAACTTTAGCGAGGCTCAGCTCGTACAATTTATCTCGCGGCGAGATTATGCGGAGGTGAGACTCCTTGGTCAACTGGATGAGGTGGGGTCTCACGCAGAGGCGTGGATGGGGACTGGAACCTGGAGCTTGGCTGGGGTTATTGTTTCACCACAGCGGACGGCGTTAACGATTGAGCCGCCTTGCAGCTCGAATGTGGTGGATCGACTGACTGCCGATTGCGCACCACCCCTCGTTTGCCAGCTAATAAACAGACACCTATTGGAACTCGGAATGGCGTCGTTACGCTTCAGGTGGTCTGGCACTGAACGTTTATCCTTCCAAACCAGCGGACCCTCACTTTTGTAAGGCGGTCTCGCTGTCGGCGTCTAGATGTCGATGTAGATCTAGTGCACTAGACAGTGTGTCTTGATAGAAAATCAACTGCAGCTGTCACGGAAAGCTATCATGGACGGTTTCCAACGAGATTCCGGGCTTTTCACTTGTAGACTGGCGTAACTCTTTGATTCTACCTGACGGGTTTACTTTGTTTCATCTTCAAACCGGCTCAATTGCATTGACAATATGTCGCGGGACAGTGGTGACATTTGCGGCGCGGACTCTATAAACCTGCACCGCCATTAATTGTCAACTTTGCGTGGTTGATTTATCATAGCAATGTTTTCGCACAACACCGGATTATATCAACCGTAACTTAGAGCGTGTCAGGGAGGCTTGGTGAATGTAGATATCTATGCCGGCTCCCCCAAGGAGATGTCAGCCTTGCGGCCCCTTTCGTGACTGTTTCTTTGCACTAGCAAATTTTTTCTGTTTTATGCGAGCTTCGTGGAATCGTTTTTTTCTACGCCCAAGTTAGCGAGGGCGAAATGGCATTGTACTGCGTCTGAAAGACCCTCACATGACTTCATATTTCTTCTTCTTCTCGTCACTTGTCTCAGCTGGTGTTATCTCTTTGTAGATACGGATTACTTCTTCAAAGAGTTTATTTCGATTCTCGTCTGCATTCGCAGTTCTTGATCGATGAGTTTGGTCTTGAAATGTAAGACTATCGTTACTCGCCACATAGTACTTGGAGTATCGTACAACAGCGTGCAGATTCCTGGGCAGAGTGGACAGGAGATCCCGCACTGAATACACAGTGGTGGCCTTGGTTTCTGTCCTATGCACAATCAGTCGATCACTCCATGGCGTATGCTATCAAAAACGGAGTCTCTCCTCACTTGTTCACATGCTGGCCGCCTGGGCCGCTGGATCGCGCGTAGGTGGTGCTGCCTTTGGGTAGCTGCGATGCATCAAAAGATTGAAACCAAGTCCTTGCTTCGGCCAAGGATTCTTGATCGAGGTTTGCATCAAAAGCGCCATATCTTTTGGGTCTCTGTAACAGCAAGGGCTGCAGTGTCCTCTGCAAAGGTCTTGTGATAACGACAGCTCGTCGTGACAGCTTGTAGCTGATCATAGTGATAAGCAAGCCGGCCTTGGGAATTGCCGCCAAATGTCGTGTGGCATCAAAATGCACAACCAGTCCCGTATCTCCGGGATTTATTAGTTTTGAGATGGATAGCCAAGTCTCTTTGATTTGGCATTGGCTGCACTTGGCCAATTGTCTAAAGTAGCTGCCGGAAACCTCGAGCTAATGAGTCGGGTGTGAAATCCATGTCCTAAACTTGACTAGCGGCACCTACCCAGGTTTATCCGACGCTGACACACAGAAGGCGCACCATTCATCCCGAGTCTGCTTACAGCCCCCCAAGGCGCCACTTCCCAACTCGAACTTCGCCCAGCCATTTTTTGCCTCCTTCACATCATTACCACGCGAGCCATTCTCAGCAGTTCGCGCCATTTCACCGAGCCAGTACTGAGGAAGTCGGTTATTCTACCGAGAAAGAAACACATTCTTCTGTTACCGACATCAACTCGTTCAAAGCGCGCTGCTCGTTACTCGTCCGTTGCCCTGCAGCAGCCTGCAAATCCTTGGCGCAGTGTTGTCACAGCTATTAATCGTCAACCCCAAAGCATCGATGGATTCAATGCAAGTCTGCTGATACTTTATCAACCACACCAAACCCTTCGCCCGCATTGCAAAACCTTATCCTTCCAGCTCAGCGCTCAGCGTCGCTTAAGCATCGTGCTCATACGGTGCAAGAGGCTCCAGCTTTGCTTTCCATTTCCCTAAGCTTGGGCCGAATATCTTCCGCTTTCATGAAAGAGCCTGAAGCCGAACTTCAGGCCAGTGCCAACTTGTCCCCCGTGTCACCATCGCCTGTCCACACCGCGGCGCCGCTTGTTGTTCCAGCACTTCAAGACACTGTCGATAACATTGACGCCATGGTTGCTGCTGCTACCACTGGTGCCCCTGAGGCCCTTGTCGACAAGCCCGTTGTCGATGCCGCCCTCGCTGATGCCACTGACAACGACGATGTTGTAGATGACGACAGTTTTAACGACCCATATGGCGAGGATACTGAGCCTGCCCAGCCTGCGCAGGCCCAGCCTCCGCCAGAGCCCTCAGAAGCCAACGACGATTACGCCAAGACATTTGACTCGCCCATCGAACCAAACGAAGGAGGTGAACAGGACATTGATCAACTTGTGTCGTCAAGTCTGCAGGAATCCAATCCAGTTCCCATTCCATCCGAGCAGTTGAACGTCAGTCGATCTTCAGAAGTTAGCCCTGCTACCGTCCATGACCCATCTGCAACGTCTACGCCTCCTGTTTCAAACAGCCATCAAAATGCCCAGCATGAATCTTCAGCCAACCTTCCTGTCCCAGCACCATCAGACCATAAAGAGGATGGCCAGCAAGACCAGAACCAAGACAAAGACCAAGGAGCCCAGCCTAAGCCCACAGATGGTCCAGATCCCGCTGCTACGGAGTCGCAAAGTTCTTCATCGCTTGATATCCAGAAACTTGTGGCTGACCTCACTGCCCAACCTACTGAATCCAATGCCGACTCTGATCCATCTCCTGCTTCGCCGGCACAGGCTGAACCGCCCACGGGTTCTGCGTCTCTGTCGTCCTCGACTACATTGCCATCTACTTCCTCCCTTCCCCCAAGGCCTCCCCAACCGCACTCCACTTCCCCATTGTATGCCTCACAGCATCATCCCGCTGGAGCTAATCCTAATGCAACCGCAGCTGTCGTTGCTCAACCAAACACTGGTCAAGCGCCATCATATCACATCGGCAGTGCTGCAGGAACCTCCACAGACCCCGTGGCCAGTCTTCCCCTCCCCCCTGCCAGCGGCCTGAATGTTTCGCCGTATTCAACCCAGACAGCACCTGGGTACTCCGCGGATCAGGGTCGTGATGTAGAGTACCAACGCCAATGGGACCAGTTCATGGCTGACGAGAGACAATACATGTCTGAGGCTAAGTGGGATCGATTTCCTGAAGGATCCCGCATCTTTATTGGTAGGCCATCTTTCAACCTGATCCACCACTTGGAATGTTTGCTGACTTTGCTTTCTTCCCCGACAGGCAACCTCTCAAGTGATAAGGTTTCTAAACGCGACGTGTTTGAATTATTCCATAGATATGGTAGACTTGCACAAATCTCTTTGAAGTCCGCATACGGATTTGTGCAGTATCACACCATCGAAGAAGGTCAAAGGGCAATGGACAACCTGCAGGGAATCGAGATCAAGGGTCGTCGCATACGTAAGTCACAGTCCAGTTTCGACCTGGGAACATGACAATTCTAACAGGCTAGATAGATCTTGAAATATCTCGCGTACAGGACAAGTCAAAGAAAGACCGCAACCGAAGCCCAGACAGAGGTCGCGGCCGTGAGAATGGGCGGAGAGGGGATAAACACGGCCGAGATGATTATCGTCCCGGTAGAAATCACTCACCTCGTCGGAACGATTACCACTCTCGTGACGACAGTTTCGGAGGGAGAGACCGTGGCTACAGCGACTCTAGTCGTGGCGGCCGAGGACGGTCCCGATCGCCCCCGTATGGGCGCAGTGATCGTGATCCCTATCGGAGACGAAGCCCGAGCCCACATGGACGGCCTCGTAATGAACCTGACCTTGATATTCCACGAAGATACGGCGCCGATGTGCCAGATGTGCAAATTATCTTGCAGCCCGATGTCAATCGCGATTTCGTAAACTGGGTTGAGGGGGCCTTCAAGGTCAAGGGCCTGAAGACGCAGGTTATGTACTTGCATCCTCGCTTTCCCAAGGATCAAGTCATTCAGCGACAAGCAGCAGAAGGTGTACACGGTGTTGTGGACTTGGATATCCGTGCTCAGAATCTCGCCAGAGTCCCTGTGCAGGTGTTCGACCGCTCTGCTGGAAGCAACAATGTGCGCTTTGATCAATACGTGGACCTTGACCCCGGCACTGCAGCAGAGGTGATTCTACGCGCCAAGTCGAGTGCCGCAGCCGCAAACTACAACCAAGGCTATGGCAGCAATGGAGCATATCAGAACCCCTACGGCACACAGCATCAGCAGCCTGCTTATGGGGGAGGTCAACAGCCAACTGCGTACCCTCTACAGCCACAGCAACCACCCACAACTTCAGCCGCTGATATTGCCAGCCTAATGGGACATGTTGATAACGCTACACTTCAGCGACTGCTATCAACGATTCAGGGCCAGTCAGCAGCGCCTCCAGCGGCTGGGAGCTACCCTCACCCTGCGGTCGGTGGTGCCCACACAACTCACAACCCTACAGTCGACATCCAAGCTATATTGGGGAGCTTAAGCGGTACAAAACCCCAACATGCACCTTCACAAACACCATATGGGGCCCCTTACGGAGGTCAGCCGCCAAATGGAAGCAGCAATCAAGGTGCAACTGGGAACAATGGAGATGCTGCCAGCCAGGTACAAAATATTATGGCACAGCTCGCCCGCTATAGACAGTGATGTTGATTTCTCTTCGGTGGTTTGATAACTAAGAATGCGTGGCGCAGGATGGAATATTTGACTTTGTTTGGCCCTGGGAAATGAATGTTTGTAAGTAGATCATTCACAAAAATAGTGATGTGAACATCAATAGCTGAAAAGACGAAACGTTGGTTGAGAGGAACATTCGCACCGACGAACTATAATGATTAAGATTTTGGAGCTAAAAAACTAGATGGTCAATGACAATGATTGTGCTACTGCAGCTTGGATCGGAGCATCCCACGCCGAAAAAGTTGGTCACAGGAAAGACCAGCAAAAGCCGTTCCAAGTTCACAACGAAAATTTGTAATATTTATACCAAGGGATATATATTGACCATGAAGCATTACAAGTATAGTATGGACAAAAAGGTTTTGAAACATCTGTCTATGCTCTGTTACCAGCCGAATGTTTCGTTATGCCACCAAACTCTTCGGCCCTTCATCACCCATGGCCTCACTCTTCGCTGTACCTCTCGAGTCATTTGGACCGGCCCACAAACTAAAACTGCGACTGATTCGTCCGGACTCCCTCTGAACATGTCATCTACAATCTTTTCGATATTGGGTCTCTTTCTATTATGATTCGCCGTCAACCGTCCGTTCGTCCTACGCATACTGGACATCTCGACAGAGCCTCCAGCAGGGTCATCGTTGTCTTCACCTACGCCCATGTCTCCTGTCAAGTAGAGCTGGATATTGGGATCTTCGAGAACAACTTGCCCTGTGGCTTTGTTTGACACGGCCCATGTGGCGTCGCCGGCGCCACGGATGGCCCATATGAATTGCAGCTTGGCAGAGGACAGGTCTCTCTGAAGCTCTTGGTAAATTGGCAGGGTAAATGTTGCGCCTACTCCACCGGATACAAGAAGAACTTTGGTGGCTCCCCAACTCAGAAGGTCGTTGTACTTTGTGGCCATGGTGCCGTAAGGCCCTTCAACACCCAGGGTGATCTTGCGGGATCCTGAGGGTGGCCGGGGTGTTGCGGACGAATAGGCGGAGAGGACGTTTGTCATGGGCCCGTTTCTGACGCGAGCGATGAGGCTGATGGTGCCTTCTTCGGCGTCAACAGCAGCAACAGTGAAGGGATTGTACAGGTAATCAAAGATGGCAGACTTGGAAGATGGAACAGCTGCGGAGCGACCTTGCGGTGGGACACTCAAGTAGATGTGTGAGCCGGGGGTGGCACGGAAAGGAGTCAACTTGTGCACGGGGATGGAGGACGTGACTTTGACGAGAGTTGTCCCGGGTATGTTTTCCATCGTTGATGGGGCGTTGATGGTGGTGATTCGTCGCACAGCTAGGTCGAGGATGAAGATGGCAAAAGCCTCGGTAATATAGAATCTAGCTGATGACGCGTGAAAGAAGAGCAGGACAGGTGTAAATAATGCCACGATGAGGTGAGTGATGAAGAATAGTCTGTATGAATACTCTCTCGCTTTCCGCATGGCGGTGGTCGCAATGCCGTGATATCCAAATGAGGCAACGACACCGCACAAAACAACAGAGTCAAAGATGCGCTTGAGCCAAATGCCTTGCATGATAAAGTATGCATTGTAAAATATCAAGTGAAGCCACAAGAGGCCGTAAATGATGCGTCCGAGGACTCTGTGGTAGCGGTTGATGTGTTCGTGGGACGAGCCAAAGATCCAGGCAACTGGGTTCAAAGCCTTCAGGGCCAAGAGGTATTGGATTGGTAATTGGGACACGGCAATGGCACCGAAGCGCTTGGTGAGATGGAAATAATCTATGCTTTTGTCAATGGCTCGGCGTCTGTTGTATGAAATCAAGGTTGCGGATGGATCTTACCATTCCCCGTGCCTTTAATAGAAAGTACAAGCAGCCAAGCCGTCCAGATGGCTCCCAGAACCCATTCATCTCTCTGTCCCCAGCAAAGACCGAGGAAATAGACATCATCGCTAAACCACCATGCAACTTTGCGCCATTGCGATGCAAACCTCCCTGATGGGCGCTGCAGTTGAGCCTTGACAGTAGGAGAGCTCGGAACAAGATTGTAACGAGCTTGTTCGCTCAACGACCCAGGTTCAACTTGATATGCAACACGTTTCAGGAGGCGATATAATAGATAAATAAGAGCCGGTGCAAGGGCTGAGTAATGAGCGATGCAAGCATACAAGTCGAGTGTTTGGCGCCGCAGCAGCTTCTCCTCATGGGTGAGGCTGGGAAACCCGTATGGCCAGGCCATTGTTGCGGGGTGGATTTAACTGGAAGAATCGGAGCCTCTGGTGGTGGGTTTTCCGTGCTAGATGGAAAGGAAATTGATGAATATTCTTGTCAATCAATCACCTCAAATTGATGCAGGCGTATTACGTCGAAGAGGTCGCCGTCTCGCACGCAGCTACGGGGTCGTGAGGCGTGCGGCGTGAGCCTTGGTAAGCGGCATTCCACGTGGCGTTTATTGGGCGCCGTTCATTGCTAAGCAAGCCGGTGCCCGATGAGCGAAACGGCCGACTTGCATGACGTGCAGAGGTACAGTATCACAAGAGGCCCCCATAGTAAGGATCAAACCGGTAACTTACTTGTTTGCTTTTTTCGTGTGTTGCAGCAGACGCAAACATGTGAGCCTCTCTGGGCTTGGGCAGTTGGAAACTGGCGGGGCCCTTGATGGCCTCTCCCATCTCAGCTACACCACTTGCGCGCATCGTGATGGCTGTGGGCCCGAGATTGCTCGGGCATCGGAATTCATCCGTGGCCGTATTCATGATGCATACGACGAATCTGATGATTTCCATCTTGTAATAGAATCTCCGAGACTCAGAGCACAGCTTAGCAGTATTATCGTAGTAGCTTCTGGTGCTGGAGGCTTGTGGAAATATGCAAAGACGCAGGCCATCTTGCTCGCGGAGCTGCGCATTACAACATGGGGTGATATGCTAGATGGACAATTCCAAATGAGAGAGGGGTCAAGCGCATGCGCATGCGCAGGCATAGAGTTAAGCTCAGAGGCCGCTGTGCGCCGTAGGGCTGGTTGAGCACGAAACCGGAAAAGCTCTCGAAAGCTTTCTGAGCCACACAGCTGGGAACCTGCACGGCCAACCTTGAATTTGAATAACTGCCGGGCCCGAGCTAGCTCCGGTGCGCCAGACGCATGTCGAGTCCAGATGTCGGTTCTCGTTGTTGTTCCGGGGCGTCGGGGTTCCAGGCTCATTCTTCGGAGGTACCAAGACAGCGCGGGCATGTTCCGAATCATGCAGGTATAGCTTCAAATCAAGCGGCCAGCAGGTGTGAGAAATTAATCATTGCAGATAATACAATTCAGCTCTCTCATATATCAGACCTTGAGAAAGGCAATTAGCCAACTTCTTGCCCTAGATTCAAGTAGATGAATGCATCTTCGTGTACAATGTCACCCTTGGTCGCACCTACCAAATGGACCCTGCAACCATCATCCACCGCCCCCGATCTCGCCCCGCCAATTTTTCCTGCAATTGGCTTAGATGGCTACTTGTACCCTTCCCAAGCCACCTGTCCGAAGATTTTTTTTCCCTCGTCCTGTCTTCCACACCTCTCTCTCCAGAAGACTCTTCATACTCTGGTCCATCCCGCATCTTGTTCCATCTTCAGCTCCCTCTTCCTTGATACCCGCCCTTCAACCTCACATTCACAATGTCTTCCGACTACGCCCTGTCTGCGTCTCACAAGGAGGTTTGTTTTGCCCCACCATGGACAAGCACGATGGAGTGAGTCAATTGAGGAGGTTGTCGAGCTAACAATGCCCTCTGTCTAGATGCTCGAGAAGTCTCTTCTCGAGACTGACCCCGAGGTCGCCACCATAATGGTACGTATTACAAGGCTTTCATAGGCTTTCGCGAGCCTCGTTTGTACCGATTTCGCAGTCATACTGATGATACCCCGCTATAGAAGGATGAGGTCCAGCGGCAGCGAGAGTCGATTGTACTCATTGCCTCTGAGAACATCACCTCTCGCGCCGTTTTCGATGCCCTCGGCTCCCCCATGTCCAACAAGTACTCTGAGGGTTACCCCGGTGCTCGCTACTATGGTGGCAACCAGCACATTGACCGCATCGAGTTGCTCTGCCAGCAACGAGCTCTCGAGGCCTTCCACCTCGACCCTGAGAAGTGGGGTGTCAACGTCCAGTGTTTATCTGGCAGCCCTGCCAATTTGCAGGTGTACCAGGCTATCATGCCTCCTCACGGTCGTCTCATGGGTCTCGACCTTCCTCACGGTGGCCATCTTTCTCACGGTTACCAGACTCCTCAGCGCAAGTAAGCTTGTCCCACTGTTCATCACAGTGATTCTAATCATGGGAAACTCCGTCTTCTAACTTGCTTGGTTTCCTTCTCCAGGATCTCTGCTGTCTCCACCTACTTCGAGACTATGCCTTACCGAGTTGACCTCGAGACTGGCATCATCGACTACGACATGCTCGCCAAGAATGCCATTCTCTACCGCCCCAAGATCCTCGTCGCTGGTACCTCTGCTTACTGCCGCTTGATTGACTATAAGCGCATGCGCGAGATTGCCGACTCGGTTGGCGCTTACCTTGTTGTCGACATGGCTCACATCTCTGGACTTATCGCTGCCGAAGTCATCCCTACGCCTTTCCAGTACGCTGATGTCGTCACTACCACCACCCACAAGTCTCTCCGTGGCCCTCGCGGCGCAATGATCTTCTTCCGCAAGGGTGTCCGCTCCGTCGATGCCAAGACTGGCAAGGAGACCCTCTATGACCTTGAGGGCCCCATCAACTTCTCCGTCTTCCCCGGCCATCAGGGTGGACCTCATAATCACACCATCACCGCCTTGGCCGTTGCTCTTAAGCAGGCTCAGACCCCCGAGTTCAAGGCCTACCAGGAGAAGGTCGTATCCAACGCCAAGACTCTCGAGAATACATTCAAGTCCCTTGGCCACAAGCTGGTTGCTGATGGCACTGATAGCCACATGGTTCTCCTTGATCTCCGTCAGTTCAGCCTGGACGGTGCCCGTGTCGAGGCTGTTCTTGAGCAGATCAACATTGCCTGCAACAAGAATGCCATTCCTGGAGACAAGAGCGCTCTCACCCCATGCGGCATTCGCATTGGTACCCCTGCCATGACCAGCCGTGGTTTCGGCGAGAAGGACTTCGAGCGTGTCGCCAAGTACATCGATGAGAGCATCAAGATTTGCAAGGAGGTCCAGGCTGCTCTTCCCAAGGAAGCCAACAAGCTCAAGGACTTCAAGGTCAAGGTTGCCAGCGGCGAGGTTCCTCGCATCAACGAGCTCCGCAAGGAAATTGCTGCTTGGACCAGTGCTTTCCCCCTCCCCGTTGAGGGCTGGCGCCTGGACGCTGGCATCTAGATGCCAGGATTCCCTAATGGGAATGGGGAAGAAGGAACAGGATTATGACGGCATGAAATCAGGGGTGGAGTACAGCTCTGCATCCAGAGGAATTTAACATGGGATGAGGCCAAAAAGGCGAATGTTCAACAACTTGCATTTAACGGGCTGGCGTACTTGATGTCTATTTTTTTTATTATGCATCAACCACAATTTTGTTCTCTTGTCATGGTATTATGTGGAATGGTTCGGGAAGACTTGGAGTTGTCGGAGACAACTAGAATCAACTTGCAAAACTGAAGTGGCTGCCTTTTTAATACACAGTTAGGCAGAGGCGCTCAACGCTGCAAATATCACAATGATTTGTTCTGAATGAGATGGCCTGCGAAAAAAAAAATAAAAAATCTCCGTAACACTTGGTATTTTGTTTTTTAAAAAAAAACCCCCATCCCAATATTCATGCCAGCACTACATCAGGTAAAGCCTAATGATATAAACACCGTGTGCCGGGTTATACCTATACTAGAGACCCGTAATATATTAAAGGAAGTACCGTATAAACACGTATTATAATACGTAAGAAGCTTATACAATTATAATTAAAAACTAGGGCATGGCGCGGCATAGCTGCGCGGCATAGCTACGCGCTAGTAAAGTATGACTCGCTTTAAAAACTTGAATAGCCGCACATAAGACATATTAATAATATCTGCGCGTATTAATAACCCATAATTCCTTTCTTCTCTTCTTTTGATAATATTAAGAACCCTATTGTAATTTCGAAGTCGACGCTCGCGAACCCGACCCTCAAGGTCTCACTTCTGCTAAAGCTGTGGAAACACTTGTAATTTTGCGCTCGTCACCCATTGTCCTCTTCTAGACCAAACCAAATATTTCACCTTCCTGAGATTACCGGCCACGAGGCTGGAGTACATCCGGAGGAGAATCGCAAACAAGCCGTTTGCAGCATGGCAGAGGCCAGCCTGGGCAGTGGAGCGATTCCATTCATCGTCACACTCTCCAAAGCACACAAATATCTAGACATGCTGGCGGGCGTCTGGCGTCAACCGTCGTCCCTTCCGCGCGCTGTCATTTGAACTCTTTGCAATACCACTTACATCTGGCAGCATACTCAAGCCATCAGACGGCGCGCGCGCTATTTCGTATGAAACAAACGCGCTTGGTCTGAATCCCCCATCCTCTCCTTCTGCACGCTACGCAAAACAAAAGCTATGGGCTGTAGACAGCGAAACCATTGACCCTGATGTAAAAATGTGTATAGGATATTTCGAAATACACTAGTAGCACAAAAGATACCCCTTGAAGCCTGATCCCCAAAAACGAGCACGTTTTCCTTTCCCAACAGTTCATTAGGCTTGCCTTCGCGTGTCCATGCGTTGGCCGTGACAAAAAAAAAGAAAAGAAAAAATACACAAAAATCATAGTTGTCCAGCCAGTTTATCGTCAGGCTGAAGGATATTCAAACGGGCGACGACGCAGTCGCTATGGTAGCTTCCCAAACGAAACAGAGACTCCGCACGCAATATCTCTTTATATATATACACTTTTGGGGGGGTAGTCTATACCCAAAAAAAAAAAAATGAAAATGAAAGATGAAGATGAAATGAAATAATTGTGTTGCCATGCTGACGCATTTACTGAGCGATACTGTCTGGGCTCATCATAGCAATATTCTCATCCTTTTCGGTCTGGCTTGTGCCCGCTTGGCTTTGCATGCTGTCAGTTCTTTCCATGCTCGCGGTGAGGGCGAGAAGAGCTGGGTTGGGGGGCGGAACAGGAGTAATGGTTATCGACTTCTTCTTGGCTGGGGTCGTGTTGGTCGACCCTGTTCCAGCGTTGGCCCCTTTCTCGGGTGATGCATTCGCCTTAGCTTCAGCTGCGGCGGCG